CTTGCCTGCCCGGTGGCAAAGGCCGCAGGTGAGGGGCTCGGCTGCGGGGCGGGCAGCGGCGGAAAGGCCGTGCTCTGCGGATGCGTCCTGCACAAATGGCTAGCAAAACACTGATGGAAAAAGAACGAAATAAAGCTGGACACCCTCCCCCCCCGCGCCTCGCCTCGCCTCGCCTCGCCTGCAATCTCTCTTCCCCGCTTCCTTCCGCCGTTCTTTGCTCACGCAAAACAGGATCGGCTCCGGGCCATTGCATGGCCCAAGAGCGGCCCTGCTCCGCTGCGTCCGTGGGCTTCCCTGAGCTCGGGGGTTCTCTTGCAACCGGTTCCTTACCTGGCTAGGCAGCATCTTCAGCGCTAGAATGGGATGCGGCTTGCTCTCTGCTTATATACTGTGGCCTGCCCTGCCGGTGGGGTGGGGGTCCTGTTTGCCTTATTTTTTCCCTCTTGGTCAAGGCATTGTTTACTACTGATTGTATGTCTGGTGCTAATCTCGGTGTTAATCTCTGCTTATCTGGGTGGTGATTGCTGGTGGGGAGATGTTACCTAGGCAGGTAAGGAAACGTTTGCAAGAAAACAGCGAAGCTCAGAGAACCCCAAAGACGCCACAGTTCAACTCTGAGCTGCACATATTCGCCTCTGTTGGTAAGAATAGCCCTCTTAACGTTATCCTACTGAAACAATGGGAGGGCCATCACCTGGGCTTAAGGGTTTGCCCTCACAATAGAAAAACCACTTATTCCCCATTTAACACCTATCCAAACCTATCCTCAAATCAGATCCCTCCGATTTCCCTCCTCTCAACCTCAAAAGTGTATAAATCCTATGCTTTTCTATTGTTCAGGGCCCCTCTTTCTTGAAAGCAGGCCCCCAATGACCATGGCAATAAACCTGGTTCTTCTCAGCGTTGTGCTCCGTCCTTGGCAAAATTCCACAACAACACCTTCACGCTGAAGTTGGGGGAACATGTAGATTGGGGGAACAATGTTGGCCAGGCTATATTTGGGGGTGGTCTCAGAGAGGGCCTTCTCCCTGCCAGAGGAGGGGCCCATTGGGTGGCCAACTACATTCCCCCAAATGTTGGGTGCCATGGGGGGTCACCTTAATGTTTTTGCAACAGTGCCAGATCATGGCAGCAGGGCAGGTGGGGTGAGGCTGGTGGGAAACGAGGGAGGGAGGGTTTCCCCGCAATCGGGAGGCTGAGCGGAGTCGTGGGAAAGGCCACGGTGCAGGGTTTGGGTGGAGAAAGGCACCAGAGATTCCCTCTGGAAGGAGCTCTATGAGCACAGGACCCCCTTGGGGCTGGGATGTCCGCAGGGGATGGTCCCAAAAGTCGAGAGGGTGGCCACGATGGTGCAGCCGAAGCTCCATCTGGTTTGTATCTGCGACACAAACGCTCTACCCCCCTTTAAAGTCTGCTTGTCAAAGACCAAAGATGGAGCAGTTGCCACCGACTACAGTTTTTAAGTCAACATTTGCACGAGAAAAAACGATCCAGGGCAGACCTGACAACTTCTGGACCACGCGTGGCCCATTTTGGCCCGCTTTCTTTGACGGGGCAGCCACCAGTCCCTTGCACTGCTCTCTGCTGACAGTCCCGGAGGTAAACAACCGTCCCTCCAGCAGCACTCCAATCGCCGGGTGGGAAGAGGCCGGGGCCAGGGCCAGGGGAGGGCCAGGCGTCACGGGTGCGCTCGCTCTGCCACCCTCTCGCTTCGGAGGACGGAGAAAGCCCACCAACCATGAAGAACCCTTGGCTGGCCTTGGCTGCCATCTTGGCTCTGCTGGCAACTGCCCCCGAAGCGAA